AGAGCTGTTTATGGCAGAACAAAAGTTTGCAACAATAACGGTAAGGAACAGTATGTAACAACAACGGTAAGGAACACTCTTCAACATCAACGGTAAGGAACACTCTTCAACAAAAACAGTGGCAAGGAACACGATGCAACAACAACAACAACAACAACAACAACAATAACAACGGTAAGGAACAGTCTGCAACAACAACAACAACAGGCAACAACTGAAACGATCAGTATAAGATGAATCTTTTACTATTTCAAGACAGAACTGCATCTTCTCTCTTCCAAAACATGATGCAGTTTCATTGGCTTTGGCTCGCGCCCAGAATGACCAAAGCCTCTTCCTTGGCGCATGGCAGCGGCTTCGGGTCCTCACAACATAACAGCAGCAGCACGTCCAAATCCTCATCCATTCCACATACTATGCTTCATCAAGTTGCTCCTGCTTGCCAATATCACTTTTATGCACCTCACGCCATTTTAGCATGCCAGCGCAACCATAACGGAGTGAAGCCAAGCAAACGGTTGCCGGAGCATCCTCAACCAGCTCTCGACTCTGGCGACCTCGTCATCTCATTTCATTTTCCTCCACACCGATCACCTCCTTGCAGCTGCGATTCCATTCCGACCTCAGCGTTACTGCCTGATTCTTGATTATGTCGTCACGCCGCAGTAGCTTTTGCTCACGCACCCAACGAATTGTTGAACTTCAATTCGTCTGCCAACTCGTCCCTATTTTTTCATCACATCGCCTCCACTTCTTTGTCGGCAGGACCTGCAAGCGTCGACCGCCTTCTCCGTCTCCTCTCCGGATCCCACTCCACCATCAGATCACAGCGCTGTAGAGTTAACTGGAAGACGGCTCTGACTAAATGATAACACTGAATTTATGGCGTTATTTCGCTACTTAAGTACTCTTAGAGTTGCGAAGTTTGCCGTTGGTTTGATTGCATATTTGATTGTTTTCGTGGAACTCTTACATATTCAGTTTAAAAAAATGGCAGAATATGCATACTTCGAAAAATTGGTGGGCATCGGGAAAAATTAGCATGACTGTGCATTGCGGTACAGTTGCTACACGCGTCCAAATTGGTCGGTGCCCAAACGAAACATAAAGAATTTAATTGCAGTTTGATCACTACCAGACCAGCACACGAAAAACATCTTTGGCCTGCTTTGTCGGTAATCTGGGCTCGCTTCGTTGTGGACTAAGAAATTCAGCTTTGCCGTCGTCCTACGATTGCAGCTGAAACAGTGCTAAAATAGTGCAGTGCTAATTAGTAATCGTGGATTACCAGTTAAGTGACCGCTAAAATGGAAAGTCGGTCAAGAAATTAGAATGAATCGTAGACTCGGAAGGCGTGAGAATCAAGAACGAATCAATCGATTCCCGCCCTACACAACCACACTTAAAAGGAATTTGAATTTTCTATTTTCTGCTTTGGATTTACAAAATTATCCCAAATTTGATCCGAAATAATATATTGGAACAGCACAAGGTTTGGGAGGGCCGAATTGTTACTGAATTTTGAAAAAAATCCCTCATCATTACACCTTGCAATTGACTGCTAAAATCTACCGTCTCTAAATTCTTTGATTCTCCGTTGCGGGAAATTATCCCCAATTTCGATAGGAAGTATAGGTTAAGGCACAGTTCTAAAACTTATGTTAGTTATCTGTGTGCAGTTCTGAACGATCTGATTGCGTTTTTCCCGGTTGTGTTGAAAAATTTGTCTAAATTTGAACCTGAAGTGGCAGGTCTAGTTTCAAAGACAGATCAACATTGATTGTAGGTTCCTGATTTTGCATACAACTTGAGATTCTGTTTCCCAAAATTCAAGCTTTCCTGTTTTC